CCACGCCGCGACCAAATGCTACAGAACTTTTGACTATGTAAACTTAGCGAGAAACCAGTTTGACTTACCAAGTCCTATAGAACCATGAGTAGATGCATCAGCTTTTTTAATAGTTTTCGTAGAGTCTGAATTAGTCTCATCCAAAGAATTAGTTGAACCAGCCATCACTTTTATACGCTCCTAAAATCACCATTGATGAAAGCTCATAAATCCGTAAATCAACCAAATTACATTTATGTCGGCTACAGTTTCTGTGCAAGTCAGTGAAGAGCTTCTCAAAAATTTCATCTTCGCTCTAGGACACCCAATCGGGGATGGTTGAGGAGGCTGACAATGTGATGGCGAGACATCCATGGTGGAAGGCGAACCTCTAGTAGAAGTTGGCGCTTAAAAACATTAATGTGCTACATGGAAAATTCTGATACTCTTAATTAGGATATCAATTAGTAGTCAAGAGAATGAATATTGAGATTACTTACGGCTACACAACTTCCCGAAAAAATCCCCATATGGATCCGAAAAAAACCCCCAAAATAATTCTTATCCGATCACCCTGTGCGCTATTGCTACAGAACTTCATATGTGTAGGCCAGTCCTAGAACGCATTCATAAGCAAAATCTGCGGCCCAGAAGAAAGGCTTGAGAATTACAAGCGCCCCTGACCTTTTGTTGGGCATTACAACAGGCAGCAGATGCCCACTTGCGGAAACCCTCGTTTACGACTAGTACAATTTGTGTATCACGAACCCCAGAATAATCTAGTAGCAAGATAAAAAGGGATAAGTATTCAGTTCTGAATTTTTTGAAACGACTATATTTTAGGGCAATCTTTCGCTCTATTCGTTCGATTCAACAATTGAGGCAAATTAAGCGCAAAGAATGCAAGCGCGCGGAATTGTTCGAAACTTCATAGAAAACTTTTTGTCCTATTAGTAAACAATACAGCTACGATGCTTTCAATCTCAGTACAATGTTACTTACGCAGAAAAACAACTCCTGATTCTAAACAATATTCCCTACCATGCATGAAATGTATGATGATTGAATGTAACAAAACGTTTTCCCTGAGTTGTCCATCTGCTCGAGTTTCCTTCCTAATTTATCCTCTCGGTTCTATGGTTTTTGTTCGTTATTTTTTATTATCGAATTTTTTCAACTTAAGGAACATCGTAAGAGCCCTTTGAAGCATGCTCTATCCATACATATGTCCATTTATCACATCGTTGCCTTGCTATTTCCGAACAAAGCGTTTGAGATTAGTTTCATGTATGATAATTCAACCAAAATCATAACTGGGTGTTAAGATTTGAAAATACACGTGAGGACAAAATTTAGGTTCATTATTGAAAGTTTCAAGACAAAAGCGAAAAACTCGGCAAGATACTAGAGCAAGTAAAGTGCAAATTTTCCAACATCTAGCACATTACTTTGACTCAGTCAGAATTAAAATGAATTTGAAACAATAAATCACTAGAAAGCGCATACGATAATACCCTACGTAATTATTTCTTTTCTACTATTACAACAGTCTACGCATGAACGCATTTAAGCAGGATTTCTTAAACCTATGAGCTTCATGGAATAGCTAGGAAAGCAATTTGTAAGAATTCATAATAAGCAGATTTTAACCTTGCCTTCCTCTTATCGTGAGTTAAGTATGGGCTGACTTTCTATAAACACATCTTGATAATTCCCCTGATCGAATGACTGAGTAACTAACA